TTCCAGTGGAGCGGATGTATTCTCTCTTGCTCCAGATTGCAAGACTGGATCCAATGGGTGGAAATTACAAGGGAGTCGTTACCAGCTAAATATCAGGAGAAACTTCCTAACTGTAAGAGTGGTGAAGCAGTGGAACAGTCTGCCTCGGGAGGTGGTGGATGCTCCTTCGCTGGACGTTTTCAAGCGGAGGCTGGACGGCCATCTTCTGGGTGTGTTGTTGGGCCGTCTTCCAGCTATGCTCCTGCAGAGTGCAAGGGGTTGGACTAGATGACCTGCAAGGGCCCTTCCAACTCTAACATTCTACGATTCTATGATAAGCAGTAGATTCAGGAGGGTCAAAGGGAAAATACTTCTTTATGCAATGAGTGATTAAAAAGTGGAATTCGCTGTCAGAGAATGTAGTGATGGCCACAGGCACAGACAACTTTAAAAGCAGATTAGACAGAGTCATAGAGGAGAGGTCAAGCGGGGGCTTCTAGTCATGGTGACTAAAGGAGAACCTCCATGTTCAGAGGCAGTCAGCCTCTGTATCCCAGTGCCAGGAGGTAACATCAGGGGAAGGCCTCAGCCTCTATGACCTGGTGTTGGCCCTCCAGAGGAACTGGCTGGCCCCTGTGTGAGACGGGAGGCTGGACTAGAGGGACCCTCCCTGGTCTGACCCAGCAGTGCTCTTTTGAGGTTCTTATCAGGGGAAGGCCTCGGCCTCTCTGCCCTGTTGCTGGCCCTCCAGAGGGACTGGCTGGCCCCTGTGTGAGGCGGGAGGCTGGACTAGAGGGACCCTCCCTGGTCTGACCCAGCAGGGCTCTTCTCGTGTCCTTATCAGAGGAAGGTCTCGGCCTCTCTGCCCTGCTGTTGGCCTCCAGAGGGACTGGCTGGCCGCTGTGTGAGACAGGATGCTGGACTAGATGGACCTTCACTGGTCTGACCCAGCAGGGCTCTTCTGATGTTTTCACGAAGAAGACTCTTCTGTATCATGTTTCTGCCCTGAAAAGTGCCCTGAAAGGTGCCCTCGGTGCTGCTGAATCATAAGTGCGCAAGAAGACAGTGGGGGCCGTGGGGAGGGGAAGGGCTCTGAGAAGTTTGAAAAGGAACGGCCACGACTGAGCCAAAGTTTTAGTTTAGCTCTGCGAGATTCCTTTCCCGACAGACTCAGAAATCATTCTTTTGGCATTTCCGCCAGGAGCCACAAAGCACAAAAGCACCCGGTAATCTCCACCCGGTCCCGAGCTGGCCTTGACATAAATCCGACATAATCTGACAAAGCGTGTGTATCCATTTTCTCTGCCATCGTTTCGGTCACCTGTGGGTAATTGTATCTTTGGCGGCTTATCTTTTCCGCGAGGGCTGCTGTCCCCTCCTGCCTCTGCGAGGCGACAGACCTCCAAGCCGCTCAGTTGCCTGACGGGCAAGAGAAGCGTCAGTGCACCTCCGTGTGCCGTAAGAGGTCGGCGGGCACGGCAGAGGTGGCGGCTGTGCACGGCGGAAGACTTGGGGGACCTGGGCTCTGGAAAGCCCAACCGGACTGGGCGGCAGGGACTAAAAGAACGCGTGTGTGTTTTGGGCCTGTGCCGTTGCAGCTTGAAGACAGACACTCTTCCACATGTATAAACAAAACAAAACTTGATAACATGTAGAACAAGCTGGCCTGGAACTTTCTCCCGGGGTGTGCTGGTTTAGTCAGTGCTGGGGGTATTTTATTCGGGGGAATCCTTCGAACACTCAGTCCACATTTGCTGTCTGAAATGGTACAGTCCATAAGAACATAAGAGAAGCTAGTGTTGGATCAGGCCAGTGGCCAAAAATACCAGGGGCCATCAGGAGGTCCAGCAGTGGGGCCAGGGCACTAGATGCCCTCCCAGTGTTGCCCACCCCAAGCATACAGAGCATCACTTGCCCCAGACCCAGAGTTCCTATCTGTACCTTGTGGCTAATAGCCACTGATGGACCACTGCTCCATATAAGAACCTAAGAGAAGCCAATGTTGGATCAGGCCAGTGGCCCAACCAGTCCAGCACTCTGTGTCACAAAGTGGCCAAAAACACCAGGTGCCCTCAGGAGGTCCAGCAGTGAGGCCAAGACATTAGAAACCCTCCCACTGTTCCCTCCCCCCAAGCACCAAGAATAAGGAGCATCTCTTGCCCCAGACCGAGAGTTCCTATCTGTACCTTGGGGCTAATAGCCACTGATGGACCTCTGCTTCGTATAAGAAGATAAGAGAAGCCAATGTTGGATCAGGCCAGTGGCCCCTCCAGTCCAACTCTCTGTGTCACACAGTGGCCAGAAATACAGGTGCCCTCAGGAGGTCCAGCAGTGGGGCCAGGACACTAGGAGCCCCCCCACTGTTGCCCCCCCCCAGCACCCAGTTGCTTGGGTAGGGTTCCCATCCTCCAGGTGGGCCCTGGAGATCTCCTGGAATTACAACCAGTCTTCAGGCAACAGAGATCAATCCCCTAGGAGGAAGGTGCCACTGTGGAGGGTGGGCTCTGTGGCATTATACCCCAGTGAGGTGGCCTCTGTCCAATTGGCTCCGGCCAAGCAGCGTCACCGCGTCGTCGCGTCTGAGGGCCAATCCCCGCCTGGAACGATTGCTGCTTGGTGTTAAATCGCCGCCATGTTCTTTCATCGGATCACTCCGCCGCCGCCGGTGTCGCCACTGCTCCACTCCTCCTTGCCGCCATAACGCCGGAAGGCGGGTGCTCCCCTGCACCTAAGGCAGGTACCCATTTATCTACTTGCTAGGCTTTCGAACCGCTGGGTAGGCGGGAGCTAGGACAGGGGCCGTGAGCTTCCATTTGCTGGGCCGCCCTCCCCTGAAACAAGGCCCAGGGTGGCTTACATCAAAGGCAAATACAATATATAAGAGAACTGAGTCAACTTTAAGATATATTAAAGCAATTCATCAGAAAAAACAATACCGTATCCAAGATGATGGATAGTTTCAGTGTCCACCTGCCCCCTGGATGGAGGGGAAATATGGAGGAAAGGGGGGGAGTGTGCGAGTGCCAGACGGCTGTTGTCCTCAACAAAATTCCTGGCAGAACATCTCTGTTAGTGCAGAATGCTGCAGCCAGGCTGTTGATGGGTCTCTCTAGGCGGGAGCACATCCGGGCTGTGCTGAAAGCGCTGCACTGGCTGCCAATAGTGTACCGGATTCGCTTCAAAGTGTTGGTTCTTACCTTTAAAGCCCTATATGGCCAGGGTCCAACATACCTAAGGGACCGTCTTTCCCCATATGTTCCCCCAAGGGCACTACGGTTGGGGACGCAACATCTCCTGGTGAATCCAGGCCCCAAAGATGCCAGATTTGCAGCAACCAGGGCCAGGGCCTTTTCGGTGGCGGCTCCTACCTGGTGGAATGAGCTCCCGGAGGAGATCCGGGCCCTTGCGGGACCTTGCACAGTTCTGCAGGCCCTGTAAGACGGAGCTCTTCCGCCAGGCTTTCGAGTAGGAGCCGCCACCGTTGCACCACCACCACCACCAACTGTGCAACATCGTGTGTGTGTGTGTGTGAGAGAGATGGCCCTGTGACAAATGAACGACAGTGCTGCCTGGAACTGATATCATTTATCTGGGACCATCATTCACCACCAGGATGCCATCCTGTTACTGACTACCTTTTTGAGACACCAAGAGCACTTTGTATTGTGATAAATGATTATAAATGATTGTTTTATCTTGTTTTTAACTGTTTTAATTATCGGCATACGTGCCCAGTCTGTGAACTGCCCTAAGCCCGCTTGTGGGGAGGGCGGGCTACAAATCTAATAATAATGATAATAATGATAATAATGGTGGTAATACTACTACTACTACTACTACTACTACTAATAATAATAATCTCTGCCTTGCAAGTCCTACGGAAAGGTAGTAGATCCCGTAGGGTATGGATGTTCTCTGGCAGAGAGATCCACCAGGTGGAGGCCAGGGCCGAAAAGGCCCTAGCCCTAGTCGAGGACACCAGAATCCCTCTGGGGCTGGGGACCACTAGGAAGTTCTTATTACTAGAGCGGAACGCTTTTCCAGGGGCATATTGGATTTGGATCTCTTTGTCCACTGTGTGAGACAGGATGCCAGACTAGATGGACCACCACTGATTACAGTTCTGGTCACCACACCTCAAAAAGGATATTATAGCATTGGAAATAGTGTAGAAAAGGGCAATTGGAATGATCAAAGGGTTGGAACACTTTCCCTATGAAGAAAGGTTAAAGTGCTCGGGGCTCTTTAGCTTGGAGAAACAATGGTTGAGGGGTGACATGATCGAGGTTTATAAGATTATGCATGGGATAGAGCAGGTCGAGAAAGAAGTCCTTTTCTCCCTTTCTCACCATACAAGAACTCGTGGGCACTCCATGAAATTGCTGAGTGGTCGGGTTAGAATGGATAAAAGGTAGTCCTTCTTCACCAAAGAGTGGTTAACACATGGAATTCACTGCCACCGGAGGTGGTGGCAGCTATAAGCATGGACGTCTTCAAGATGGAATTTGATAAACATATGGAGCAGAGGTCCATCCGTGGCTATTAGCCACAAGGTATAGATATGAACTCTGGGGCAAGGGATGCTCTGTATTCTTGGTCCTTGGGAGGCAACAGTGGGGGAGCTTCTAGTGTCCTGGCCCCACTGGTGGACCTCCTGATGGCACCTGGTATTTTTGGCCACTGTGTGACACAGAGTGTTGGACTGGATGGGCCATTGGGCTGATTCAACATGGGCTTCTCTTACGTTGTCTTATGCCAAGTTGCTGTCTTAGGCTTCCTGTTGGGAAAAATGGCTGCCCTGTTGGCCTGTTTCACACCATGTGGTTGAAAGCAATCCCATCCCTCAGTCTGCAAATTAAAGATGCCGTATGTGAGCAGAAGGAGCAGCGGGAATGCCGTATTCCTCCCGAGCCTTGGGTGTTATTCGGGGGGGGGGGTTGCTCCCGTGCCTGAGACCGGCCTGCGTCAGAAGGCTTGTTCTGCACTGATCTGACCGTTGTCTGTCCCTTCTCCTTTTTCAGGGTGAGCGAAGAGAAGGAGGTGACGGAGGAGCGGCTGAAAGCCGAGCAGGAGTCCTTTGAGAAGAAGATCAGACAATTGGAGGAGCAGAACGAACTCATCGTTAGAGAAAGGGAAGATATCCTTTTTGTTTTTCTGTTCTAAGAGGAGGAGGAGAGTCGAGCCCAGAGTTCTCTGTCTGGAATGAAAAGCAAACCAGAGAGAAATAATTGTCCTAATTTATGGCGGAGCATAAATCTCCATGCGCTGCCATTCAGAAGCGATCGGAGGTGACTTGCCAGCATGCGCTTCTGGCTCATTTGAGCTGGAAACTGCCACCCAGCTGTTCCGGGGATGTTGCTTCGCTGCGAAATAGATATTTGTCAACTTAAAAACAACGGCGTGGAATTGGCGCATTTGTAAAATGTAGACGGCCCCCCTCCCACCTTTCGCGCTTAATCTTGTTGCGGTGATTCCGTGGCAGACTGAAGGAGACGTGCGGGGAGGCGCCCCCCCCCCCACGTCCTTCTTCCAGTTTGTACCCGGAGGCTCGAGGGTGGCTCCCAGGTGGTTAGGACCATCCCTGAGATAACATCCTGTGGGTTCGGGGCATGTACCCTCTCCCCCCTTTTTGGTGATTGTGGTATAGATAAGGGCTTCGTCCCCCAGGGACTTGTCGAGCTCAGGCTACACTGAAATGGGTGGGATGTTACTTATCCTAGGGGTCCCCAACCTTTTTGAGTCTGTGAGCACCATTGGCATTCTGATCTGGGATGGTGGGCGCAACCAAAAAACGGCTGCCACGGGAGGTGGACATATACCGAGGAGATCCAAATGCAGAGGAGATGAGGCGTAATTAAAAACAAACATTGGGAAAGAGGAACGTGAGAGAGAATGCAACCGACACTGCGATGATAGCTGTTGCGGAAGCTATGTTGTTTTCATTTGCACAACCAATCAGGTTTTCCAATGCCCGACCGAGAGCTGTGTGGGGTAGGATCCCCACCTGGCCCCACCCACTTTCCGAAAAAAATGGGCAGGCGCCAGGTGAGTGCCATGGCGCCCCCAGGCACCGTGTTAGGGACCCATGACTTAGGCGCGTTGTTGTTGTTGTTGTTGTTCATTCGGGTCCGACCCTTCACAACCCCCTGGACCACATCATGCGAGGCCCTCCTGTCTTCTGTCGTGCTCCGGAGTTTGCTCAACTCCATGTTCGTTGCCTCGATAACACTGCCTAATCATCTCATCCTTTGCCGTCTCCTTCTTCTTTGACCTTCAGTTTTTCCCAGCATCAGGGTCTTCTCCAGTGGGTTCTCCCTTCTCCTTTGGTGGCCAAAGTAGACGCATGAGTAGTAGGAGTAGAAGAATTTATTACAGTTGCGAGACCAGCCCCATCTATATATCTATAGTTATAATAGTTACAGTTATCTAGAACTATAATATTAATAGTTATCTATATATAGTTATAATAGTAGATTTTAGAAACATACAGAGTACAAAATATACAAAATATACAAAAATAAAAGATTTAAATTGATAACCTATTTAAAATATAGCTTCCGTAACCTGTGTTTCAATGCACAAAATCTAGCTACTTGATAAGTGATCTTAGAGTTCTTATCAGATAAAAGACAGTCAAGCTTGGCTTTGTTTGTGCAACCAGGAATCTTATCCAGCAATGGAGTGATAATCTCCAAACGAGCCTCTTTATAATATGGGCAACTGAAGAACACATGCTTGATGGACTCGAACCTCCCTTAATGAGCAGTTGTATTTATACTCTATTGTATTTTAATGTATTTATTGTTTTAGTGTTTTTAATGTTGTCAGCCGCCTTGAGCCAGTTCTGTGGCAAGGCGGGATACAAACTGAAGTAATAAATAAAATAAATAAATAAAAATAATCTTTCAAGGTAGGGGAAAAGTAGACGCATTAAAATATTTGAAATGTCTAGCAAATTTATTTATTTAATTAATTCGGTTTATACCCTGCCCTCCCTGCCGAGGCGGGCTCAGGGCGGCTGACATAGAATTTCATATAAATTCAATTAAAACCCATCACAGACAGACGTAACATAAATCAACGTATCATTCGATTAAAATACTTCTAAAACGCTGGAGCATGATCTAATAAAAGCGAGAGCCTTGGTTTCGAGGATTGCCCAAATTTGGGAGGACTAGGCTGCAGGATCTGAAATAAAATACGTTCTATGTGGCCTTGAACGGGTGGGTCGAGAAGGAAATGGACACGGTTGTCGGGATGGTGGGGGCACGGGGCTTGCCCTCGGAGCTGCAGTAGTGGTGCCCGAATTGCGGGCGTGGATTCATTTGAGAGGTGGGGGCGCTCATTGAGAAGTCTGATTGAGCGGCAGACGGCTCGATTGCATGTCGAAAGTAGAATGCATCTGTGAACTTGCGATTACCAGTGTGTGTGTTGTTTCCTTTCCCGCAAATGGCGGGTTGTTTGTTTAGGGTTTGTTGGGTCCCATTGTACTATGCAGTGACCTCTACTGCCGTTTGTGTCCTCTGTAGGAACCTGGGGTGGGGGGCCACGGGGACAGTTCTGGACTTCCGAAGTGTCATTTGTTCAGTTTTCCGAAGGTACTCAACGGCCTAGCTTTCTTAGGGCCAGAGAGGGGTGGAGCAGCCTGCGTTTCTGGACCGTGGGAGTCAGAAACTCAGCAATGGTTCTCCCAGCTCGGTCGCATCGGGATGTGTTCAAATGTTAATGTTTGTGCTTCTCGAAAAAGCCGCATCCACGATATCGAGCATGTCCAGAAGAGGGCAACCAGGATGGTGAGAGGGTTGGAATCCAAGTCTTAAAAGGAAAGGCTGAAAGAGTTGGGTATGTTTAGCCTGGGAAAGAGAAGGCTCAGAGGGAACATGATTGCAGTTGTCAAGTATCTGAAGGGCTGTCATGTAGAAGATGGAGCAGATCTATTCTCTCTCATGCCGGATTGCAAGACTTGATCTAACGGGTGGAAATTACAAGGGAGTCGATACAGGCTAAATACCAGGAGAAGCTTCCTAACGGTAAGAGTGGTTGAGCAGTGGAACAGACTGCCTCGGGAGGTGGTGGATGCTCCTTCGCTGGACGTTTTCAAGTGGAGGCTGGATGGCCATCTTTCGGGTATGTTGTAGGGCTCTCTTTTGGCTATGGTCCTGCAGAAATCAGGGGGTTGGACTAGATGACCTGAAAGGTCCCTTCCCACTCTAACATTCTATGATTCTATTTCCCCCCCAAGTAGGGGAACGCTGTCCTGACCTGGATCGCCCAGGCTAGTCCGATCTTGTTAGATCTCGGAAGTTAAGTGGGGTCGGCCCTGGTTAGTACTTGGTGGGGAGACCACCATCGAGGAAGCCCAAGGTTGCTACGCAGAGGCAGGCAATGGCAAACCATCTGTGCTCGTCTGCCCTGACCGGGACGGCCCAGGCTAGCCTGTTCTTGTCAGGTCTCAGAAGCTAATCAGGGTCGGTCCTGGCTAGTACTGGGAGGGGAGACTGCCAAGGAAGCCCAGGGTTGCTATGCGGAGGCAGGCACTGGTAAATCACCTGTGGTTGTCTCTTGTTACGATGAATGGGCTACGATAGCCTGATCTCATCAACTCTTGGAAGCTAAGCAGGGTCCGCCCTGCTTAGTACTTGGATGGAAGAGCACCAAGGAAGTCCAGTGTTGCTATGTCTCAAGATCCCCAGTTAAAACACTCTCCACAACACTTTTGGCAGTGATGCTGGACGACCATCTTTCGGGTATGCTGGAGGGCTCTCTTTCGGCTACGCTCCAGCAGAGTGCAGGGGGTGGGGCTAGATGACCTGCAGGGTCCCTTCCAACTCTAACATTCTATGATTCTATGATCATTTCCTCCAGGGAGTGAGAAACAACTAGAAAACATGTGTCCCACTTCTGTCTTCTAGGTTTTTGTCACTGGAATTTCCTGTCTACACCATTATTTAGGTGTCTGTCTACCCCATATCCCAAAATGTGTATCAGGAAGAGGCTGGGGCACATTACCCAGCAGCATCACAAAGCATGTCACGTGGGAAAGCAGCTTAGGAACGGGGGTCCTGGCTTGGATGCTTCCTAGAACAGAGTTCAGAGTCTTCTGGCGTCTGGTTCTTCTGTCTAGTGATGTAACGTTCTAAGCTTTGAGATTGCATCCGCTTATGGGTTTGAGGTGGGAAGTAGACTTGGCAAGGGGGTGGGTGACGGCGGTGGCGTTCCCGTCCTCTGGCGCGTTTCTGCACACGTAACTTCCATTATTGCTAATGAGCGCCACTGAGCTGTGGTGGAGGAAATATATCCCTTTGGGCTTTTGTTTTTTACCTTTATTGGCGAGAGATTCTTCAAGCATAAATATTTCTTTCAGGAGAAGCCTGGCAAAGATGGCAGAAGGTTAATACATGCGATTTTACACTACATAAAACTCTATAAAAACTAGAAACGTAAAACAAGGACATAATTTAAAACAATATAATTTTAACTACGAGAATACTTATCCATCATACATGAATGATTCAGAATCCTTCATATACCTCCGATCAGTTAATTTCAGATCTCTTGGAAGTCTGCTCAGCGGCCGAGGAACTGTATAAATGACTTATCAAACCGGAATACAAATGCCGCAAAGGAATGGATAAAAACTTCGAGAGTGTTCGGTGGGAAGGTGGAGCAGTAGGGGAGGGGCCACAGCATAGAGGAAGAGTGCGCTTTGAATGCCGGTCTCGGGGTCAGTCCCCCCACCTCTCCAGGGAGAGGGTCTGAAGCCGCAGAAACCGGAAACATTTCCCTGCTGTGAGCCTGAACAGACAATGCTGTGCTCAAGAGACCAATGATTTGACTCTGTATAAGACAGCTGCATGATAAAAATGAGCACTGGAGATACACGTGAGAATCTTTGCCCTCTACTCCCCTGACACTTTTGCGAAACCTGCATTTGTGTCAGGAACGGTAGAGGATGGGGATTGGTTCTCGTCATATTTCAGTCCCTGGCATCTCCAGTTCGATTGATGAGGTACTTGTTGATGAGAAAGACCTCTGCCTGAGACCCTGTAGAGCAGCTGCCAGTCTGAGTGGACAATACTGACTTTGATGGACCAAGGGTCTGATTCAGTATAAGGCAGCTTCATGTGTTCTTCTGCATCTACTAGGGGTGCACTATGCATATA